TGTGAGGTTGGCCCAGGGCCAGGCAGTGTTTTGTTCTGTTGTGCATAGATAGAGTCACTATGAGTAGGTACCACCTTGATGGCACCTAACAACAACAACAATCATGTGTGTCTTGTGTAAAACAAGACCTAAGAAAATCCTTAATGAATTAATGGGAAAGTATGAAGCTACGTTATGTTGTTTTTGTTAAGTGCCATCGAGTCTATTCCGACCCATAGCAACCCTGTACAGAGTTTCCAAGGAGCAGCTGGTGAGCTTGAACCACCAACCTTGAAGTTCAAATGACTTTGCAGTATGACACATTAACCCACAATGCCACACCAGGACTCCATGAAATTATGTTATAAGCTACCCTTATTTGTTGTTGTTGTTGTTAAGTGCCATCGAGTCGGTTCCTACCCATAGTGACCCTGTACAGGGTTTCCAAGGGTGTAAATCTTTACGGGAGTAGAAAGCCTCATCTTTCTCCCCCGGAACGGCTGGTAGTTTCGAACTGCTGACCTTGCGGCTCGCAGCCTTATTTAGACAAGAAATATCAAAAAGAGATTACAATGATTCATGAATTTTTCTAAGGTTTCATGGACAAAATGTAAATTCTTACAAAGGAAATGTTAATAGCTACGTTTTAATTAATTAAGGTCCTTGAACCATTTATTACCAAAAATAATACTACTCTAACCATTTCCCTCTGTAAAAACACACATTTGCAAAGTCACTTCTAAAATGCTGAGTCCAAAATTGATACCTGCTTTTCTGAATCATGTGATCCAATCTCACACTTACTTAGTTATTTTTTTTAATCTAAAATAAGACTTTGAAAAACAATTTAAGTTTATTACTACTTTGCCTTTCTTTTTCTTTTCTTTTTTTGCCCATGTGGTTATCAAGTCTGCTGAAGTAGTTCTTCGTTATTAGTTGTTAGGGGCCCTGAGTCAGTTTCTGCTCCTAGTAAACCTATGTACAACAGAATAAAATGCTGTCCAGTCCTAAATCTTCCTCAAAATTGTCATACTTGAGCCCACTATTGTTGCCACTATGTGCTTTTCCAACTCCAAGGAATGGTCCTTTCTTACAAACTGTCCAAAGTAAAAGAGATGAAGTCTCACTATCCTCACTTCTAAGGAGCAATCCAGGCTTCCTTCTTCCAAAACTGATTTGTTCACACTTCTGGAAGTACTTGGCATTTTCAATATTCTTCACCACCACAACCTTGCAGTTAGCAGCTATTTTGACAAGTTCAATGTCTTCCCCATTTATCATGACATAATCTTCAATTCCATTTAAAAACCCATGTCTGTTTTTTGGGGCCTTATAGAACTTACATTTTAAAGCTGATATTGTGGTTGGTTGGGGTCCTGGTGGTGAAGTGGCTAAGTGCTTGACTGCTAGCCAAAAAGATCAGCAATCTGAACCCACCTGCTGCTCTGTAGCAGAAAGATGTGGCTGTAAGATTATGTAAAGATTACAACCATGGAAACCTGATAGGGTAGTTCTAAACTGTCCTAGTGATTGCTCTGAGTTGGAATCAACTTGACAGCAAAGGGTCATAATTAATGATGATAAAGTGAGAAATACCTTACAGATCACATATGGTCACATGCAGAGAAAAAAAATTAAGTCCTTAAAAATGATCTGTGATCGTTATAAGGCAGAGTCAGAATTAAAACAATTTAATAAATTAAGAAGCATTTAAAGAAGCTCTTGATGGCCAATTTAATATTCTTTTTATATATAAAATTGCTTGACACTTTATAGGTCAGTTGGCTAATTTAATGATGTGTGATTCTTAGATATAACATTTCTTCCACTAATTCAGATCAGATTGGGTTCTTGTCCATTCTTTCCATGGCAAGTCTCAAATATAACTGAGATTAAAAATAGAGGCGGTAACTCTTTTCTTTGTGAATATCTGTTGTCATTGTTTTTAAGTGCTTTCCAGTAAGTTCTAACTCACAGAGAACCTGTATAGGGTTTCTGAGGTGCAGCATAGAGTTTCCAAGGAGCAGCTGCTGGATTTGAACTGCCAACCTTGCACTTAGCAGTTATTTTGGTTTGCTTCCTACTGCAGCAATGTGTTCAATACTGTTTTGGCTTTTTGAAATTAACTTTACAGCTGTGGAATTTGCTGCAGCTGTAAAAATGGTGCCAGAAATGCAAGTTTTTGGTTAGTGCCATAGTTTTATTTTGTTATAAAATTGAGCAAAGTTGTGGTTTGGACTTTATCCGTCTCTCTGGAAGTGTAAAAAATATTTATAGTTATAAAATCATCCCGTTTCTATTTCCAGGTCAACATTATAGGAAATTTATATTCCATATTTATACTGTTTCATTTTTAGTTATAGGAAATAAAAGCATCTAAGGCAATTTAATTATTAAGTTTGGAAAAAAATTATGTTGTTATCTCTTATTACTGTCACATGAATTTTAACTCTTAACTAAGAGAACTAACATAATTTATGCATATCCACATGCTCAAATTAGTTTGTTTACAAGAACATGATGATACATTTTGTGAAATTAAAACCAACACTGTTATTACATCTTACTGAAAACCTCTATCTATTTCTGTGGATGATCCACCTAAAATATCTTAAACATAATATATCTAATGAAGGTGTTTGCCATTTATCTTCTAGAAAAATTAGATTCCTGAATTCTAATGCAAAATGCACTGATGTTCTTAAATGAGTATACATAACCATAATCAAATAATTTTATTTCATGTTCAATGAGTTTAGTTATTAAAAAGTCAGCAAAAATGACATATGCTAAAACCTACCTAGAAAGTTTTAGGTAGCAATAAGGAATTATATTTATACATGTTTTCTCTATATGAGTTCATTCACTGAATTCAGGTAACTTTTTGCATCACTATGACTCCTGGTGTGCAGATGTAAAATCAGCACTGGACTGCCAAACTTGTGGTTCACAGTTGCTCTTCAGAAACCCTATACAGGGTTACTATGAGTTGGAAGCGACAGCAATTAAGAACAACAACGCTTCACTAGGCATTAATTAAATGCAATTATGTAAATTAATGATAAGTATAATAACTTTTAGTTTTTGTTTCTAATTTGGCTTTAAATTTTGGAAATAATGAGGCTGACTTGCATAATTTATATTTGGTCACTATCCTGGTGTGGTGCTGTTTGTTAATGCACTGGACTGCAAAGTCAGTTTGAACCACTTAGACAAGGTTACTATGGGTCAGAACAGACTGAATAGCTCTTAATAACAACAACATCCTATTTTGCCCTTCATATACTAATAAAATCAAACTAGGAGTATAAGATAAGCTATTACCTTTTATTTTAATATAAACTATCAGCAGCATTTAGGTTAATAAATACAAGCATTAATTGTATTGCATTGTTAATCTCCATTATTATTATCTTCTCTTTGCCCATTTAGTAACACATGTTCTCCTGCCTTTCAACTTAATTTTTTTTTTTTTAATGCAACTAGGAACTTGATACAGTGTGCAATTCTAACAATGGTGGTGGGGTTGATTATGTGCTCTTAAGTTGATTCTGATTCATAGTGTCCCTGCCCAGGGTTTCCAACACTTTAAATCTTTATGTGAGCAGAAAACCTCATCTTTTTCCTGAGGAGAAACTGATGAATTTGCACTGTTGGCCTCATAGTTAGCAGCCCAATGCATAACCCACTACTCAAAATTAGAGGAATATTTTTAGCATTTTGATGTATTTATAAGATGGTATGCCCACTAGGTTGGACAAAAATTGAACATATCTTTGTATACAAAATGTTATGTTTCATTGGACCCCAAATCATTTTAATGTATAAATTAATTAAAAGCTTAATAACATTTCATTTTATATTGTTTAAAATCATGTATTATGTGCAATCTTTAATCAGATAATTGGCTTTATAATAAAATACTATATGTCCATGTTTTAATTAATAAATGGACATATATAGTTTGTTACCATTAAAACAAAGCAATCCATGAAAAATCATTTTTATAAGCTTCCATTTTGTATCTGTGCACCAAAATAAAACAGACTTTGTTTTAAAATTATTAGTATTGTTTAAAA